TTGTTTTGAAAGGTATCACTTTCCACCATTTTGTAAGCCTGCTTTAAATTATTTTATGGCAGCCCAAAATAAATTAAAATGTCGAGTTGGAAACAATTTTTGATGTCAAGCCTTTAGAGCTGCTCTGTCTGATTTAAGATGTGCTTAACTATAAAAGGTGTCACCGCTCTCACTAATAAACTGTATACTGATTACCTGTTTAAATGATAACATATTGAATTAAAATATACTATTAAAATGAATTTTGCCTGTTTCTTTTTTGACGCAGCTACTAGAAATTACACATTTACACATGTGACTTGCATTATATGTCTGCTAGACAGAGGGGCTCTAGAACAGTTTCGAAGGAAACCTCACCAGCATGCCAGCATGCCTGGAGGCCAGATGGTGCTGCTGAGCCTGGGCCCAGACATTGATTTGGAACAGTGGTTCTCATAGTTCGATCCCCAAAACAGCACCATGAGCATCACCCAGGAATTCTGGGGCTCCACCCAAGACCTACTCAATCAGAAACTCCAAGGGTAGCCCAGCAGCCTGTGTTTAGCAGGCTCTGCAGGGGATTCTGATGCAGTGCAGGCTTGAGAAGCACTAGTTTAAAGGTATGAGAAGCACTATTAAAGCCACAGGGGAAGAGGCTGAGACTCACCCAAGGTAGGACCAGCCTTAACTCGCTGGCTTGGAACTGTTGCAGGTAAACTGAACAGGATGGCAAGGGCTGGACTGCGGAGAACAGAACTCACAGGGTCTGAGAGATAGGGGGGCTGAGAGTGGGTGATGGCAGCAGAAAAATGCATAAGGGGGGAAAGCTGGTTCCAGAAGGATACAAACATAATACCATGTACATGAAGTCTAAAACATTGCAAACTGATCACCATATATTGATTGTGGATACAAGTATCTGGAGTAAAAAGTATGCTCATGGGAGCTGTGTACCAATGTAGCATATAGAAATTCATGTTTGGATAGATAAACACATTTAGGATGGTGGTTACCTTTTGGGAAAAGAAAGGGAAGGGAAATTTTATTGCAGAGGACTCCGCTGTGCACTTCAACTGTATTTGTAATGTTATATTTCTTATGCTGGGTAGTGGGTAAATGGATGTTTATAGTTGTATTCTCTATAATTTTGTGTATATCTTAAATATTTCATTATAAATAATGAGGAAAATAAAAAGAGAAAAGGAGAAAATGCACTCAATCTCTGGAATCCACTTAAGGAAAAATAAGATAAAGTCATCATTGACCTGAGTAGAGGATGAGAGAAGGGGAAGGGACTGGGAGTTTGAAACTAGACAGCCTCATTTCTGCATTTAGTTAAGGTTTCCTAGGTGCTTTCTTGGTAGCACTGTTACCTTTTTTCATACAGTATTCTCTGATAGCACATCTCATATTCTAACATATAGATTACATATATAATAATCTAACATATGATCCACTATATATATTTCCCCTGCTCCACTAACAACAACCCCTGGAGTGAATCTCTGAATGGTTGGGTCATTAAAGTGTTTTATTTATCTTTCTTTCCCACACCCCTAGACAATGAGTTTTCCTTAGTAGGTACTTAATGCCTATTAAAGTGAAGTAAACTTAACACTCCCACAACTCTTTTTTTTGGTTACCAGTGTTGATATTTTAAAATGAATTTCACATACTATTCCTTATGACTAGAACCACAAGGTTACAAAGAAGGCACAAGGCTCCTTTTTACCATTATTTGAACTGAAAGTGCAGGCCAAGTAGTTTGATTTGAGCACCTTAAAATGGAGTCTAATTTATTAGTTTTTATTTATTTTTTTCTATAGTGGTATCTCATTGTATTTCCCGATGACATGTGATGTT